CTGGAGCCGCCCCGGGAAACGGGGGGTCCAGGGGTGACATCGCCCCGGCCCGGCCTCACCTGCACCCTGAGAACATCCCAGGACACAGCGACCACCTGAGCCTTCCCTGAGGAGCCACTGCCCATCCCACCTGCCAGGCCCTTCTTGGTCTTTGCGGATGTTTCGGGGTTTTCCGGAGCGTTTTTTGGTGTTTTCCGGAATGTTTTGCTGGTTTTCAGAGTGGTTTTGGTGTTTTCCAGAGCATTTGGGTGTTTTCCAGAGCACTTTGCTGTTTTCCAGAGCGCTTTTTGGGCTTTCCAGAGCGCTATGGGTGTTTTTCTGGAGCATTTTGGGTGTTTTCTGGAGCATTTTGGGTGTTTTTCTGGAGTATTTTGGGTGTTTTCCGGAGTTTTTTGGGTGTTTCCTGGAGCGTTTTGGTGTTTCCTGGAGCGTTTTGGTGTTTCCCAGAACATTTTGGTGTTTTCTGGAGTTTTTTGGGTGTTTCCCAGAGCATTTGGGTGTTTTCCGGGGCATTTTGCTGTTTTCCAGAGCATTTTTTGTGTTTCCCAGAGTGTTATGGGTGTTTCCCAGAGTGTTATGGGTGTTTCCCAGAGCATTCTGGGTGTTTTCTGGAGCATTTTGGTGTTTTCTAGAAAGTTTTGGTGTTTTCTGGAGTATTTTGGGTGTTTTCCAGAGCATTTTGGTGTTTTCTGGAACGTTTTGGTGTTTCCCAGACTGTTCTGGTGTTTTCCAGACTGTTTTGGTGTTTTCCAGAGCATTTTGGGTGTTTTTCCAGAGCATTTTGGTGTTTCCCAGACTGTTCTGGTGTTTCCCAGCACGTTTTGGTGTTTCCCAGCACATTTTGGTGGCCTCTGTCCCCAGCTCCAACCTCCACCCCTCGCCACCATCCCAAAATTCCCCCCAGCCTCCAGTTTCGGATGGGACTGGGATGTTCAGCAGAACCAGCTTTTGCCTCCTCCTCCACCATTATTTAATGATTAAGATTTAATATATTTAATAAAGTGTAAAAGCTCTTTTCTTGCTCAACAGCCACCAAACCTCCTCTTGGGGGGGGGGCAGGATGAGACCCCCAACATTCCCACCTTCCTCCAGCCCCATGTTGGTGCCACGTGTCGTTCCAACCCCTCCAGATCCCACAACAAACCTCTCCCTGTGCCCACCAGGGACTGGGGCTGCACTGGGGGTGGCTACTGGTCCTACTGGTGGCCCAGGGTGAAGCCCCCTGGGATGCTGGTTCAGGAGAACGTGGCCATTGGTTCCAGGGGGGTTTTGGTCCCTGTGGGACTTTGACCTTTCCCAAAACATCCTGGTGTGTTCCCAGCCACCCTCGGCTTGTCCTGCCCTTGCGGTTCCCAGTTAGGGACTGGGAGAAACTGGTCAGCCAAGGGCAGCAGCTGGCACTGGGGTGAGGGGGAAGTAGGGCTGAGCAGGGCAGGGCTTTGGGGTGCTCAGCAGGGGGTTGGGATGCCCTGCCTGGGGTTTGGGGTGCTCAGTCCAGAGCTTGGGGTGCCCAGCAGGGCTTTGGGGTGCTCAGCAGAAGTTTGGGTACTTAATCCAGAACTTGGGGTGCTCAGCAGGGCTTTGCGGTGCTCAGTCTAGAACTTGGGGTGCTCAGCAGGGCTTTTGGGTGCTCAATCCAGAGCTTGCGGTGCCCAGAAGGGTGTTGGGGTGCCCAGCATGGTGTTAGGGTGCCCTTCAGGCTTTTGGGGTGCCCAGCAGGACTTTTCGGTGCCAGCAGGGCTTTGGGGTGACCAGCAGCGTTTTGGGGTGCCCAGCAGGGTGCTGTGGTGCTCAGCAGGGTGCTAGGGTGCCCAGCAGCGTTTTGGGGTGCCCAGCAGGGTGCTGGGGTGCTCACCAGGCTTTTGGGGTGCCCAGCAGGGTGCTGGGGAGCCCATCAGGCTTTTGGGGTGCCCAGCAGGGTGTTGGGGTGCCCAGCAGGGTGCTGGGGTGCTCACCAGGCTTTTGGGGTGCCCATCGGGGTGTTGAGGTACCCATCAGGCTTTTGGGGTGCCCAGCGGGGTGCTGGGGTTCCCATCAGGCTTTTGGGGTGCCCATCAGGCTTTTGGGATGCTCACCAGGCTTTTAGGGTGCCCAGCAGGGTGCTGGGGTGCTTACCAGGCTTTTGGGGTGCCCAGCAGGGTGCTGGGGTTCCCATCAGGCTTTTGGGGTTCCCATCAGGCTTTTGGGATGCTCACCAGGCTTTTGGGGTGCCCAGCAGGGTGTTG